AAACAGACAGGTGGGACAAAATTTATAATTGGATACATTGCACCATCGATATACTGGTTCATTGTCACTTTATGATTGTCACAATAACCAAATTAAAAAAACACGATTTCTTTGGAAAATGTTAATTTGTACCATCAAGAAAATCTGTCACTTTTTAAAAACACTACAATGTTTCTTTCATTTTCAACATGTGTTCAAGTACCCTATAATTCAAAGTAAATTTGAAACAAGAGATGTTTGTAAAACACTTATGCCCCTTTCCCCAAATTGGAATTTTTTCCAAGTCCAAGGGGCATAACTCTATCAAAAATGGCACGATCGTACCCAAAACAGAACTTGACCTAGACATTCATCTGATAAATCTGTATATTAGATTTCATTTCAATATGTACAACCGGTTCAAAGAAAATGAATGGAAACTGCAAATATTTGGAATTTTTTCAAACTCCAAGGGGCATAACTCTGTCAAAAATGGTGCGATGGTACCAAAAACAGAACTTGACCTAGATATTAATGTGATATATCTGTATACCAAATTTGATTTCAGTATGTGCAACGGTTGCAAAGAAAATGAGCGGAAACTGCAAATAATTGAAATTTTTCTAGTTGAAGGGGCATAACTCTTGCTCAAAAATGGTGCAATCATACCCAAAACAGAACTTGACCTAGATATTAATGTGATATATCTGTATACCAAATTTGATTTCAGTATGTGCAACGGTTACAAAGAAAATGAGTGGAAACTGCAAATAGTTGAAATTTTTCTAAGTCCAAGGGGCATAACTCTGTCAAAAATGGTGCGATCCTATCCGGAAAACAGAACTTGACCTAGATAATAATGTGATATATCTGTACACCAAATCTGATTTCAGTATGTGCAACGGTTACAAAGAAAATGAGCGGAAACTGCAAATAATTGAAATTTTTCTAAGTCCAAGGGGTATAACTCTGTCAAAAATGGTGCGATTGTACCCAAAACAGAACTTGACCTAGATATTTATGTGATATATCTGTATACCAAATTTCATTTCAGTATGTGCAATGGTTGCAAAGAAAATGAACGGAAACTAAGTGGACCGGACCGACCGACAGACAGCAGCAAAGCAATATGCCCTCCCTTCTTCGAGGGGGGTATAAATATGCATAGTTGAGCTTGATAAATTCATCAAATGCATCATTGTTTAACATCATTATCTTTCTATAACATTTAAGAATTTCTAAAAGCCATAAATATCGTTTATTTATTCATGCAGGGTTTAATAGAGCTAGAAGCAACCTGTCCCACCTCCACGCTGAAATGGATACTTTTTGCACCTCCGTCGTAGTAGAGTTACAATCTCGAAACTCATGCATTAAATTACTGCTGTAACCAACTAACCATAGGATGTTTGATCATGGCTTAGGGGCTAGATATTTTTTCAAAGCAAAAAACATTTCACTTCAAGTAGAGATTACAGTCTTTAACAGTACATGTATTAGAGTAATGAATATAATATTATATATTTAATATATACAATTTAAATACCGGTAGATAATTTGTTGTTACAATACAGGGTTTAATCTAGTGCATCTTTACTACCGATATTTGGGTTTACTTCACCAGAACGAAACTTCCCCTGAATATCCCATTTCCCCCTTTAAACTTTTAATTAGTAAAAATTACCCCTTACAATAATGAAAAGCTTAAAAAAAATTTCTTTTCTTTATAAAAACTGGAAAACAGAAGTAAAAATTAACATGATTATCAGAAAGTGTGAAATATGGTTTTACTTTGCTATTTTTTATGATCTAGATGTTCATAAAAATGCTAAAATTCATCCCCCCACCCCCCGATCACCCTGCACCTGCTGGGCTGGTCCCCAGACCATTACTGATTTTCCCAATATCTTCAGAGAGGGTAGTAGGGTAGTTTCTGAAAAACTCAAATTTATCCCTGCAATTATAACATTATCATCGAGCAACAAAACAACACAACACAAGGACTAAATGTCTTTTCATTTATTGTTCAGACAGGCACCTGGATCATGATTTATGCAACATCTTTAGTTTAATTCAAAATCTTTCACTGTTGTGGAGGCCAATCAGATTAAAAATTAAAATATGTTTTAGTATAAATCCACACAAGTGTTGTTATTTACAAATTTTTAGATGAATAAATTACATTGTTAATAAAGATTCTTCAAGTGGTTGAAAATTTTTACTTAAGTCTACGTCTGTTTCATGATCCTAGGCAAGAAGACTATGGCATGTTACATCAAAATATACTGGATTCCATATTGTACTGACTGCATTACTGCATTAATGATACCATGCTTTTCTTTTTCCTTGTTTTAACTTTTTTCTTCAACCTGTCTATTTCGATCATTATTCATCAATAAAATTATAAATCTTGTATTTTGAATTGTTTTGCCGTATCCTATAACATGTATAACACGCCCCCTCATATCTACAGTGCGAGTTTCCATCATGTCCATTGTATTTTTTTTTAAGTTTTCTAAAACAAGATGGCTATCTGCTGAAGCATTACGTTAAGATGAATAGTTTCGTTTCTGAAACCATCAGACGTCAGACTTGATGGGCGGTAGTCATATGGATTGCAAACAGTTGAATTCATAATAAATTTGCAAAATGGAAAAAGCTTCAAATAGTTTAGTCAACTCGAATAAGCAAATGAAAACATCGCATCTCCATCATTGAATCGGTTGAAGTTTAATGCATGTTTAAAACATTACCTCTACAACTGAACGAAAACAAATCAGGTATATTAATTAGGGTTAAAACTGGATCTCTAAATCAAACTCCGTCTTTCGCCCGGCGCAACGTGGCTGTAAACAAAGAGCCTCTTTCTGAAATCGCATATTGTAATATTTGGAATATCGAGCCCGATCGGAAAAATATATAAAAACTACGGAAAAAACACCGTACTTCCCACAGGCCTCATGATTTTAACAAATTAGAATTTAATCTATCCAAGGATGCTTCAACACATGTTTCAGGTTTTCTGGCCCAGTTGTTCTTGAGAAAAAGATTTTTAAAAACATTTTCTACATATTTCAATGTAAAATTCTGATTCCCTGTTGTGGCCCCGCCCTACCCCCAGGGGCCATGATTTAAGAAATTTAAAATCTACACTACCCCAGGATGTTTTCACATAAGTTTCAGCTTTTCTGGTCCAGTTGTTATTGAGAAGAAGATTTTTAATGATTTTCCCTATATATTTCTATGTAAAACTTTGATTCCCCATAGCGGCCCCGCCCTTACCCCGGGGGTCATGATTTGAACAATTTAGAATCTACACTACCCCAGATTGCTTCCACATAAGTTTCAGCTCTTTTGGCCCAGTGGTTCTTGAGAAGAAGAATTTTAAAGATTTTTTCATATATATTTCTATGTAAAACTTTGATTCCCTATTGTGGCCCCGCCCTAACCCCCAAGGTTCATGATTTTAACAATTTAGAATCTGCACTACCCCAGGATGTTTCCACATAACTTTCAGCTTTTCTGGCCCAGTGGTTCTTGAATAGAAGATTTTTTAATGACCCAACCCTATTTTTCTCTTATCTTGATTATCTCCCCTTGTAATAAAACTTGGCCCTTCACTTTAACAATTTAAATTCCCCTTCACCCAAGGATGCTTTCTACCAAGTTTGGTCAAAATTGGCCCAGTGGTTCTTGAGAAGAAGTCGAAAATGTGAAAAGTTTACAGACGGACAGACAGACGGACAGACAGACAGACAGACAGACGGACGGACGACGGACAAAATGTGATCAGAAAAGCTCACTTGAGCCTTCGGCTCAGGTGAGCTAAAAACAGGACAGAGGCTTGTACAACACAATAAAACTTACCTATATCTTTTACGGTATCATTACGCTGTTGTTACACTGTAGTTCCATAAAAAAATTACCAGATAGAACAACCTTTTGAATTAGACAACGTCTAAAACAATTTTTTTTGCCAAAACTTGTTCATGAAAAAGTTATTTTACAAGTAAAATCTTTTCCATCATTTCTATCAAAATAATCATGATAATCTACCTTATCTTTTTTCATTTTGATCAAGCAGATTAACCATTATTATATATTGAGATTTTTGCTCTTGAAAGAGTTTTGCAAGTTAAATTTAAAGTAATATTTATATCTCACCTGTAGGACAAACATGTGCCATCTCACACTCAATAGCCTGGAAAGGAATTCTTAAGAAGTCTGGTCTGAAAGAGATAAAAAATTATATACCAACCTAAAATAATCTGGTGACATATTTCCACTTTGCCAGTGCAAACATTTTCTATACACAATAAATACACAATAAATTAAGGTCATCAGATACTATTGTTTGAGAGATCAAGTAAAATCTAGACTCTGTATTTCCAGAAATATACATAACAATTTAATCTGTGTAACACCTTAGAATTTAAAATTCAATACATTTCTAGAGAGTAAATAATATGTCTCTTTCTACTTTATTAACAGAAATATTTTTAAAGGCTAACAATTAAAAAAACAATCGAATCAATATTTTAAAATACATGTACATAAGGCCACACCAATTTGCAACATAGTTCTTCGGATTTTCAAAAATAAAAAGAGAGGCAAGCGAGTGAAAATATTTTACAAATATTTATTTTTTTATTTCAGGTTTCAAAATTATGAGGCGAGCGAATATAATTAATATTAGTGGCAAAAATTCTAAGTTCTTCTCTTTTTCCTATTATTTTTTCTGAACAAGAATATATTTTTGATGCACTCATAAGAAGCAAAAACGTGTCTTTCTTTCGTTTCTCGTAACATTGCAATTATGACATAGTTTCATTTCTACAAATTTTCTGTTTAATTCTTTGCAAATTGTTAAGGTCATGTCAGGTTTTGAAATCCCAATTGCATCGCTTTTTGAATTTTCTTTAATTTTAATTGAACAACAAGAGGCCCATGGGCCTTATAGGTCACCTGAGTATCATGCAACAACTTTCCAACAATTGAATTTGATTCATGTTTTAAATCAGAGGCCATGAAATTCACAATTTTGAAAGAGGCACCATTGCTTATCATAATCATACACTCAGCATGCTTACTTTGGTTACTTAATACCCAGAGGTATCTCAGAGTAACAAAGAGAAAATGCATTTTCCACTTTATCAGTTGTGCACCCCATCCCACAGGAACCACTGACCCTGGGGCCACATCTTTCAAAATTTTGGAAATTTTAAAAATTTTATTTCATAATATTGTTACTTAATACCAAAGTGCATATTTCAAAGCATTAAATTATTTTCAGACTATGTACGCCCCCCCCCCAAGTACCTCTGTCCCTGGGGCCAGGAAATTAACCATTTTTGGAAGAAGCAGCTTTCTTCGTCATAAATATATACTAAGATCATTGGCATTATACCCAGGAACCAAGTAAAAGATTTTGAAAGGATTCATGCATTTTCAATATATAAATATTAGAGCCCCACCCTAACACAAGAAGCCCTGACCCAGGGGCTCTGAAATTCAAAAATCTCAATGAGGCATCCTCCCTCCTCATAACTATGTACATAGTACACTGGTTTAATACCCAGGTGCAGAAAAGACGATTTTTCAAGAATTTATGCATTTTCACTATATAATCAATAGAGCCCCACCCTAACACCAGAACCCCTAACCCAGGGGCCGTGAAATTCAGAATTTTGGAATAGGCAGCCTTATTTAACAAAACTATGTATTAATTTATTGAATACTCAGGAGCAGAGAAGATTTTCAAAGAAATAATTCATTTTAAGCTCACCTGAGCGGAAGGCTCAAGTGAGCTTTTCTGATCACATTTTGTCCGTCGTCTGTCCGTCCGTCTGTCTGTCTGTACACTTTTCACATTTTCGACTTCTTCTCAAGAACCACTGGGCCAATTTTGACCAAACTTGGTACAAAGCATCCTTGGGTGAAGAGGAATTTAAATTGATAAAATGGAGGGACATATCCCCTTGCAAGGGGAGATAATCAAGAAAAGACAAAAATAGGGTTGGGTCATTAAAAAATCTTCTTCTCAAGAACCACTTGGCCAGTAAAGCTGAAACGTATGTGGTAGCATCCTGGGGTAGTGTAGATTCTAAATTATTCAAATCATGACCCCCGGGGGAAGGGCGGGGCCACAATGGGGAATCAAAGTTTTATATAGAAATATATAGGAAAAATCTTTGAAAATCTTCTCAAAAACCACTGGGGCAGAAAAGCTGAAACTTATGTGGAAGCATCCTGGTATAGTGTAGATTCTAAATTGTTCACATCATGACCCCCGGGGGAAGGGCGGGGCCACAATGGGGAATCAAAGTTTAACATAGAAATATATAGGATCAAAGGCCTGAAGGGCCTGCGAGTTGACTTGCTGGAGTCAATTGAGCTTTTTCATACATCTGGGCACCATACCTTAATATATTCAGTTTATTTTGCATCTTTAGAGATTGAATATTATATGTCTGATCCATGTTCGGTTCATAAATAAAGTGTATATTGCTTTTCCTTAATATATACAGGTTGGCACTAATGGGCTTCCGTATTATTTTGACTGGATTCTATAATAAATTTAAGCACACTAGCTGCAGTGGTCAGTGTTATGGAATAATTAGGTTAAAGATTACCACAGCAAATCTGGATTCTAAAAATAGATTTTCAACAACAACTAGCTGCAGCGTATGAGAGCAGCAGGTGTTTGTGTTAGGGAGTATTCTAGGTCAATTATAAATAAACTTCAGATGGGAAGATTAGATCCGCCTAACATGCTTGAACATATATTCATACGCAGTAATTGTACATCTTACAGATATTTAATCAAAAATTTCTTTAAAAGCATGAAGGCATAAATAATGTTACAGTATGAAATTTTATACAGTTTTTACCTCTTAAGTTTGTACAATCACTCAAACCAAAGCATTTTTTGCTAGAACTATTATATTTGGCGTATGGATCACCTTGATGAATGCGTGAAAAATTTTACAGCTCTGAAACGGCTATGTCAACAGGGAGCAGCTTGCTACGCAAGCCAACTCAAAAAATCTTTGAAAATCTTCTTCTCAAGAACCACTGGGCCAGTAAAGCTGAAACTTATGTGGAAGCATCCTGGTATAATGTAGATTCTAAATTGTTCAAATAATGACCCCCGGGGGAAAGATGGGGCCACAATGGGGAATCAAAGTTTTATTTAGAAATATATAGGAAAAATCTTTGAAAATCTTCTTCTCAAGAACCCCTGGGCCAGAAAAAGTGAAGCTTATGTGGAAGCATTCTGGGGTAGTGTAAATTCTAAATTGTAGGAATCATGACCCCCGGGGGAAGGGCGGGGCCATTATAGGGAATCAAAGTTTTACATAGAAATATATAGGAGAAATCTTTGAAAATCTTCTTCTCAGGAACCACTGGGCCAGAAAAGCTGAAACTTATGTGGAAGCATCCTGGTATAGTGTAGATTCTAAATTGTTCAAATCATGACCCCCGGGGGAAGGGCGGGGCCACAATAGGGTATCAAAGTTTTACATAGAAATATATAGGAAAAATCTTTGAAAATCTTCTTCTCAAGAACCACTGGGCCAGAAAAGCTGAAACTTATGTGGAGGCATCTTGGTATAATGTAGATTCTAAATTGTTCAAATCATGACACCAGGGGGAAGGGCGGGGCCACAATGGGGAATCAAAGTTTAATATAGAAATATATAGGAAAAATCTTTGAAAATCTTCTTCTCAAGAACCACTGGGCCAGAAAAAGTGAAGCTTATGTGGAAGCATTCTGGGGTAGTGTAAATTCTAAATTGTAGGAATCATGACCCCCGGGGAAGGGCGGGGCCATTATAGGGAATCAGAGTTTTACATAGAAATATATAGGAAAAATCTTTGAAAATCTTCTTCTCAGGAACCACTGGGCCAAAAAAGCTGAAACATATGTGCCCATGGAAGGATCATGGGGTAGTGTAGATTTCAAAATGTCTAAATTATGATCAGTGAGGTAGGGTGGGGATGCATTATGTATAACAAGGGGGAAATCTGGTAAAGAACAGAATGGTCAAAGCTTCTCAGGTGAGTGATGTGGCCCATGGGCCTCTTGTTTACTATATAATCTATATAGCCCCGCCTAGCACTAGAACCCCTGGGGCCATGAAATTCACAATTTTGAAAGAGGCACCCTAATTCAACATAGCTATGCACTTGGTTAGTTTATTTAATGACCATGAACAGAGAAGAAAAATTTCAAAGAATTTATGCATTTTCACTGTATAATCTATATACTCCCCCCCCCCCCAGCACTAGAACCCATGACCCTGGGGCCATTAGGTTCACAATTTTAGAAAAGACAGCCTTATTCAACATGATTATGCACTTGGTTAGTTTATTTAATGCCCATAAACAGAAAAGTAGAGTTTCAAAGAATTTATGCATTTTCACTATATAATCTATATAGCCCCGCCCTAGCACCTAAAAACCCCTGACCTCAGGGCCATGAATTTCACAATTTTGGAAGAGGCAGCCTTATTCAACATAACTATGTACTTATTTAGTTTATTTAATGCCTAGGAGCAGAGAGGAAGATTTTCAAAGGAATAATGCATTTTCACTATATAATCTCTTTAGCCCCACCCTAGCACTAGAACCCCTGACCCCAGGGCCATGAATTTCACAATTTTGGTAGAGGACTCAATGCTGATTACAATCATGCCAACAGTTTGACTGCTTGATGTCCAGGAGTAAAGAAGAAGATTTTTAAAGATTGCACTAATTTTAGTGACTTTGGCCCCACCCCTCAGGCCTTAGGGGGGCAGGGATTATGAAATTCAAAATTTTTGTTCCCCTTCACCCATAGATGCTATATGCCAAATTTGGTTGAAATTGGTTCAGTGGTTTCAGAGAAGAAGCTGAAAATGTTCAAATGTTAACGCACGACGGACTACACACACCCGCACGACGACGGAGGAAAACAGATAGCAATAGGTCATCTGAGTTTACTCAGGTGACCTAAAAATATCATCAATATTTACTTAATCTTGTGTGTACTGTATTTTTCATATGTTGATGATGTTCTCTTAATCTCTTTATTGTTTCATAAAACAAAGCTTCAATTATCTCCTCTGATTCCGTTTCTATTGCTGTGTATGGAGCTACTTTGTACCCAATGTTTTTAACTATGGTACACAGGGGTGTGCAATTGAGAAAAAATCAAGTACTTTCCCACGGGCTAGTGGCAGCTTCCAAGTTACTGTCCCCAAGTAAAAAGTTACTTACCCAAACAGAGGGGCAAAAATTAAAATCAAAACTAATGTTGAGAAGGAATTAATTGCTGAAAAAATCAGGGTACTGGGATCATTCTTTTTAAAATTAAAGATTAAAGTTCTCACTTTCAATATTAATCATGCATAAATTATTATGAATTAAAATTAATTTAAATAAATTAGCTTCCCTTTTTCCTGATCATTGCACTAACTCATTTAGAATAAAATCAAATTCATTTTGTTTTCATCTTAAATCATCAAGTACACAGGAAATATATTTTATGTGAGTCACAAAACACTTATCTTTCAGTTGATTGGGTGATTGTAAATTATTTAATGAGATATCTGCATGTATTTACCATAAATGGAGGAATAGAGGAAATTCGGAATAGGAAAAAACGATCGTTTTAGGAAGTAAATAAGTCAGATAGAACTACAAAACAGATAAGATTATGGAGATTTATTGACAATAGGAGCATGTTGTCTGGAAAATTTTAACTGGTTGGGAATTTTATAACAAAAAGAAGTGAAAATACCGATTGTGCTTGTCATGTATTGCGTGTGTAGTTATATGTTTTACTAGCCCGAGGGGCTACCTCCTTGCAGAAAACAACTAGCCCGATCCCCAAAAATAGTAGCCCCGGGCGTCGGGAGATGCTACTTGCTCACCCCTGGTACATAAGAACAGTTACCAGGGCATCTTGCAAAACTTCACAGATTGCTTCAAAGTACAAACAAACGAACTAAATCCCGCGCTTCTGTCATACAAATTTCCAAGTCTTTTATGCGTTTTGTGTAAAAAGTCTAGAAAAAAATTGTATTTGGATATTTTTGGACGCGCGCGCGCGAATTTTATTTTTATAATATTATAATTTGGATTTTTTAAAAATAGGGGCAGCGAATCTGACGAACTATATTAGAAATTGGTATGGCCTAACATGTAATTTTTTCTTAAAAATTCTAAGCAGAGAGATGGAGATAATTGATCATGTAGAACCAGATAAATGACTGAACTTACAGTTTATATTTTCTACATGTCAGAAGTACTTCAATGGCTGTCAATCTGGAATACATGCTACATATTACTTTCGTCAACTTACTGTAAGACACGGACTTTACTCTTGGACAGATAACAGCTGTCTCCATAGTCAAGGTAGAAAAGGTCAAGCTGCTCAGGGTCATCTCCTTGGAAACCTGACACTCTGGCCCTGTACCATGATGTATCCTGGTCAAATGGTGCAGCCACCAAATCTCCCACTTGTGCAAACTTAACATTGTCAACCTGTAAGACATCATCATGATATAATTTCTGTGTGTAATGATAAAACACTTATCACAGATTATCATCTTCCATTAATTGACTAAGTGTTATAGAAAAAATATGAAAAGATATTTATAACATATGTTTAATCCTTTTCATTTTATGAAAGCAATACTAATACCTACAAAGTGACTTGAAAATTATAATGATCAAAAGCAGCTGAAAGTGTATTTTGGGTCATGTAGAAAAAACAGATTGAGATATTTTACAGGAGGAAATGAAAAATCAGCTGACAGTGGTCATTGTAGTGGAAAATGGTGCCTATTTAAGGGAGCGCAACTCACTTAAGGATGACGTTTACTCAGGTTTCAGAAGACAGAAAGGAAATTTAATAAAGTATAATATGTTAAATCAAAAATTGCTCTAAATGGATAAAATGACCAATCTGGATTAAATTTTATTTTTTTTCAGTTTTGTCAGAAAATTTCTTGTAAAATAATTTACAATGTAAAGGTTACATGAATTTTTAAACATCATTTTGCAAATTTTATGTGTGTTAAAGCTCATCAATTATTTCAAATATTGAATGCTAAGTAATAATGAAATTAAAAAATATGAAAAATAAAGTGCCGCACCACAGCATGATACGCCCGTCAAAAAATTACAATTTTCTTGAACAGTTTAGCATGCAAGAAAATCATGTTAACCTTGATTCTAAGATTTCCATGATTTTTCCATTCCTTAAAATATTTATCCATCCCCTGTGATGTAGGCATTAATTATAATAAATACATGTATTACATCATTGATAGATTTCTATGCTGGTTGTGTTAGACCTTGTCCAACATATTAAACATATATCAAATTAGTCTTAACACCTTAATCTATACCAAATTAATTTTGAAAGAAAAGGCTGGCCATCAAATGACATATGCTATAAACTGACCAGCAGTTCTTCTGTCTAATCCCCAAAGGATACAGATAAGACTGCTTGATCAGATAGCCTTCCTACATTGAACTGATTAATTAATCTTTAACTGGATGCTTGTCTACTCATGACTACCAAGAGATGAATGGGTCTGCACTATCTACCATAAATTTTTTTTTTTAAACATATAAAATACTTAAAGATTTTTTTTTTTGGTTGAGATTTAATGTCCGACAGGTTTTAAAATGTAATTCATATGGACATGCTGATTCCACCCCACCCCATAGAATCAGTTTTTAAATTACTGGGTAATAATGTTATATAATATCATATTAGTCTATTATGCAATACTGTAAATCACTTTTTATTAGCGAGCACTTTATTTTCGTGTAATTACGTGAGGCAGTGTAGTTGCGTAAATTTAATTCTCACGTAGTATTCCTCAATATATAGAGTAATAACCACAATTCGTGAAAATTTTGTCTCGCTAATCAAGAGTCAATGACTATCTCGCAAAAATAAGGTGTCGCCAAAATTTAGTGATCTACAGTATCAAATTAGTTTTAATTACTTTTCATCAAATTCATTCTAAAACTTAGGCTAGCCAACAAGAGCTATTTTTAATCCAACAGGCTGAACCATTTGCCCAATACTCAAGGAACACCGATGCTCTATAGCTACCAGTTAGCTCCTCACACTGAACTCATTAATTTCCCTCTAATTTGACATGCAATTTTCTGTTATCAAAATTCTCCTTGACCATGCAGTGCTTGATAATTACACTCATGGGAGAGGTAGGATTTCTCTAACATTCATAATATTTGTTATAGATTGCTGTCAAGTATAATGCTTAAAAAATTATGTATTTTCTTGATTCAACACCTTTTTTAATAAGGACAGTGCAATACTCTTACATTATTTGGGATGTGAAAATGAATAGTAATAAGACACATTTTTTTTAAAATTTCACTTAAATTAAAGGTCACAGTGACCTTGAAATAGGACGTGACACACCTTCTACCTAAGATGCATTTATAAACTAGCCAAGTTTGATAATTGTAAGTCTTATAGTTTTCTAGTTATGGGCCAGAAAGGATTTTTCCATATTTGGCTATAACTTCTTAATTAAAGGTCACAGCGACCTACTTCTTGTGCGCGACACACCTTCCACCCAAGATGCATCAGATGACAAAGTTTGATAATCCTAGGCCTAATAGTATTAAAGTTATGAGCCAGAAACGAAAAAGCTAACAGACAGATACGTACACGAAGCCTATAACATAATATGTCCCGTCTTAAGACGGGCGTATAAAAACAATTCCAGACAATATATTTCAACAATTTGATCATTGACCTCATATAATATTGATACTATTAGAATAAGGGCAACAAAAGTAACCTGGGGCTATAAATAATTTAGAGTTCTTATCATTAAGATTTTTGTAATTTTCTTTTTAAAATGGGAAAAAATATAAATATTACAAAGAAAATTCAGATTGTAAAAATTAATACGATTATGGCCCAGACTCTAATCATTTATTGATACGAAGCAATGCTGTTCTGTTCCTATTATATTTCATTATCTAAAGAGTTTTGTTGCTGGTAATATTTTTTGAGTTAAGAAAAAACTGGTCATGGTGTGAAAAAATTTAGGTATTTACGAGAAATACTCAGGGGCCACTAACATGAAAAGTTGGTCATTGACCTAGTTATTTGAAATTTAAATTTAATACAAGAATCATTGGCTGTCTAATAGGTGTACAATGTGCAATAGGTGGTTTTTCATTAGTGCTGTGCGATATTACCGGTTAACCGGTGTATCCCGATTTTTTTCTTCACAATACGTATCGCGGTATTTTTTTGTGAATACCGGTTCGGGTTCGATATGCTATAAATTGTTATAGAAAGAGTTATTTGCCCTTTTCAAGGTAAAATATGCCGGCAAACGATGTCAAGTGTGATCAGAAATGAGAGACATATCTCTGTCAGAAACGAAGAGACAACTATTACATGAAACCCTTTCATGTTAAAGCCGAATCTGAATATTACAACTTAATTCGTCAAGTTGTGCCACAAAAAAACTTAGCTTGCCACTTGCGCCGACACAACGCGACCAGGCAGTTGCAATATCAACTCGAAAAAACGTGTAATTTGAGTTTGTGTTTTCATTTCACATTGACAAAAAGCAAAATTTATTAAAAATTTTATATTGTGATATATTGCAATACAAAATATAATATTGCAATATATCGCGATACGATTTTTCAGTGGCGATACCCAGCTCTATTTTTCATTCTTATCAGTGGAATTTATTGTCATCTGAGTAAAGGTATACCTTAAAGTTGGAGAGTTGGTGGTTCTGATATATGTCCTAATTTAATAATTAACTCCTTTAATTTCTCTGAAAAAAATCCTCATTTTGTTCTTAGACATGATTCTAATCATTAATATAGGACTATGACATGAATGACCTCTCTTTTGTGACATGAATTTCCTTTTGTTAACAAACATGAATTATCTCTCTTTCTTTAATCTAATAATGTAACATGAACAACTCCCCTTTTTGTAGACAAAAATGTGTTACAAAAATGAATCAAATAACCACAGAATGTGTTAATGCAAAATCTTACAGAACAGTGTATTCAATAAAAGTGAGACTTTAAAAAAAGCTACATTAATTTTAGATTTATTTTTACATTTCGGGTTGTAACATACCTCTCTCTCTTTACTGTAGTACTGTGACATGAGTTACCTCCCTTTCTTTACTGTAGTACTGTGACATGAGTTACTCTCTCTCTCTTTACTGTAGTACTGTGACATGAGTTCTCTTTCTTTACTGTAGTACTGTGACATGAGTTACCCCTCTTTCTTTACTGTAGTACTGTGACATGGGTTACCCCTCTCTCTTTACTGTAGTACTGTGACATGAGTTACCTCCCTTTCTTTACTGTAGTTCTGTGACATGAGTTACCTCTCTCTCTTTACTGTAGTACTGTGACATGAGTTACCTCCCTTTCTTTACTGTAGTACTGTGACATGAGTTACCTCTCTCTCTTTACTGTAGTACTGTGACATGAGTTACCCCTCTTTCTTTACTGTAGTACAAGTTGTGACGTGAGTTACCTCTCTCTCTTTACTGTAGTACTGTGACATGAGTTACCTCTCTTTCTATACTCTGTGACATGAGTTACCCCACTTTCTTTACTGTAGTACTGTGACATGAGTTACCTCTCTTTCTTTACTGTAGTACTGTGACATGAGTTACCTCTCTCTCTTTACTGCCTGTAATGTACTGTGACATGAGTTACCTCTCTTTCTATACTGTAGTACTGTGACATGAGTTACCTCCCTTTCTTAACTGTAGTACTGTGACATGAGTTACCTCCCTTTCTTTACTGTAGTACTGTGACATGAGTTACCTCTCTCTCTTTACTGTGACAATACCTCTCTTCTTCAACTTGACATACTCTTCTAATTAAAGATTGGCCTTTTTGGGTAGTACTTAGTTGTTGTTTGGAGATTTCTCGGCAAAGTTATATAATTGAAAGTTTTTTTTTCCTTACCAGGCCAGGTGCAGGTGTTCTCTGTTGGTTTAACGGTGCTGTCTTACATGCGAGTAATGTGAGATAGGGGTCAGTTGCAGAACAGTTCTTCAACAGATCGTCTGTTTCACAATTTATCCCTGGCCACAAAATCGAATTTCTAATTCGCTCATAACATTTCAATATCCCTTGATGTTCTTCTCAGAACACTGTTCTCATGCAATTTTCCGACTTTCTTTTATGAGTGGCTCAATTGCTGGAAGAGTTTCAATGATGTTGTCTACATATGAAGGGTTTCTGATTTTTCTCTGTGTTGAATTTCATATATACAAATTAAGAAATCTGAGAAATTTTTCACAGGCCCATGTCACTGCTTATGCATCTTTTTCAACTTGTGCGTATCGTTGTTCTGATTGACTCCTAGATCTTGACGCATATAGGCAGTGCCTTCCAATGGTAAGGACTGTTGTCCGTCAATTGTAAAAGAACATCTTCCCCCAATCTAAATGAACGAAAAAGCTTCATTGTACATGGCGTAAATAAGTGTGTTAACCTGAATTGTCTTTTCTTTCGTATTGAACCTTAATCTATGCTTAACCTTTCAAATAGTATTATCTATTCAGGCCTCTCGTCGAGTTCTGGTGAAGGTTAATTTTTCTGGCGTTTGAACCTGGTAGGACGCCATCAACACATGAGTCTGTACTTGCGCGAAAAACACTAGACAGAAGAAAATGTCCGTAATCACTGGATCGATGGAGCTGTACATGCAAACGTTGCCTAATTCTGTAAAACGGTTGGTACTTTCCGCTAGAAAAACACATTAAAAAGCTCTTCTGACATATTTTGGGTTCGTTCAAATAACAAGGACTGTAAATCTGCTAGCAATGCTGTGTATTCCTGTGATGTCACCATAACATATTACAGTGGCTGGAACGTTATTGTTGACAAACCAATCGTGTAGAATCGTTCGTGCATCGTGCGCGATCGATCGTGTAACGTGCGAGATCGAGCGTGTCACAGACTCAATCGTTTACGGTTTTAATCGTGCGTGAACGTGCGTTTAGAAACGTGTATGTTTCGTTTTGTAAGTTCTTATCGGAATGTTATCTGTGAAACAAGTATTTCGTTTATATTTTATTTTTTAATCCAAATAAAAGGAATGAAGCGCAGTTTACATTATTGAATGCGGAACGAACTAACTATCGCTTGTAAACAAGCAATATAGTAAGTCGTACAATATTTTGTTCTCGTCAAATAGCGTAACTTATTGTGATAAACCATACTAGGATGTTTTACTATATTTTTCTGAAGATCATTCTTGTTTGCTGCTAATTGTGGTAAGATATTTTTTTGTTTCAAATAAACAAAAAAAAAATAGTGAAACAGAAAATTAGAGGAAAGAATGCTTATTTAAAAAGTATGGTGTGAAACAGGCAAAGCAATGCATATACATTGGACCTTCAGATATCTGGATGCCATATATCCGATACTTCAGTATCTGGATGATTTTTCATCGGAACTGAATTTTTTAACGTTATTTTGCTGTCTTGTTTAACTGGTATTTCAGATATCTGAATGTTTCACATATCTGGACAAACTGACGAGGAACCAAAGTGTCCGGATAAATGAGTCTCCATTTTATGTGTAAGGCTGGTGTTGATGACCTCTGATCAAAAAAAATAAATAAAATACTCAGAAATAAAGGAGGCGCAATTTATATAATTGAATGCAGAACGAACTAAGTATCGTTTGTGAGCGTGACCTATTGTGATAAACCGTACTTAGATATTTAACAATTTTTTTTCTGGCGTTCATTCTTGTTACTGCCCAATTGTGGTCAAGATATTTTTAAAAAATCCATACATCAAATTTTTTGATGTGAAGATCGTGCGTTTGCGTTAGCAATCGAGTAAGATCGTGTAACGGGTAGAATTTTTGCGTGGAGGATCGTTCATGTAACAGGTTTAATGAAGCGTTAATCGTGCGGAACGTTCGTGTAAGTTGTCAACAATAACGTTGCAGCAACCGTAATGCATCTCAGCAGATTGGTCAATTAGAAAGTCACACACCTGTGTTTCATTTAGCATATGAATTTTATTCAGTTTAAATCATCGAAGGATTCACTGCCATATTTTTTTACCGACATGATTATAGGGTCAAACTAGTAACTAGGAACAAAACGAATAATTATGATACGATGTTTTACAATATGATCATCATTACAAAGGAAATCATTTATATTGTAGACAATATGTAAACGTTACTATAATCAAGATTAACATGTTTAGTCTCTGGATAACTACTTTTAAAACTTGTTATCCCAAGAAATAAATACATGTAATGAAAGGTGGGACTAATATCAGTAATATACCCATGGACTGGAATTCTTAAAGAAATAAATTTCCATTCTGTTTCAATATGTTGATTTGTTTAAAGTAATGAAATATTATTTTCCACTTTTAAAAAAAAAATTATTAATAAATATTTTTGAATATTATTTGTAATAAGGTAAATGATTTTTTATTTGTAAAGCCTGACTGAAATTTGATAAGTTTAACTTTTATACGATTATTAATCAATTATGCCCAGCCAATTACAACCCATATACATTTTCCATCACCGATTTTCACGTGTTTCATTTGTTTACATTAGGTTTTTCGGTCTGACATAATTTGATTCGGTCCTGTATATTGATTGATTACATAGGACCGAATGTCCTGTATGGTAAAAAACTCTCAAATAGACTGTGTTTGTTCTGCTACTACTCAGTATTTTGTATTGTTTTATGGACTTTGAGATTGAATACTGTTCGTTATCTCCATATCCTTTTTACCTTCCAAAATAACAATTTTGTTAAAAGTAGTATTTCATTAGGGTACAAATATAACGGGAGAGAAGAAAATGCAGCGGACCAGACCTGGATTCGAACCCGGGGCCCCTGAAACTCCGGTCAGGTGCACTACCAACTATCAGCTATCTTGCACCGGCGATCAAATCCTGCTGAACGTCACACATATATCAGTGATTAGTTGCATTCAAAAATTAGAGTCAATTTTGGACATTTCATTATTGTTAATGTACGTCACATCATACTTTGAATTATGAGATTTTTAGGTCCGAGGCTATACGCACGACGATCGTGCTAATTACCTATGTTAACCGCACGACGGTCATGCCGATAATTCCAGTTATTTGCATGACGGTCGTTCTAATATAAAGGTTATTCGCACGACAAACTTCAAAATTATTTAATATTAATCATACGTTTATTTGTATTATATTTTTACTTTTATATGATTTTTTTTTTACATGTCATTAGATGCTTCTGTACGTTGAAACTCAAAACAGATTTTATTTATTAGACATCCACATAAAGTTAACCTACCTTTTTTTCATGCAGGAGTTCCTATGCGAGAGTTTGTTTTTTTAAAAAAAAAAAAAGTAATTTAGCCATTTTTTGCACTAAAATGGTTTTTCCAAGAAAAAAAAAAAAGAAAAGAATGACACCCCCCAAAAAAGACACTTTTATTTTCGAAATACGACAGGTAAATTTTAATTTTATATACACCCTTGACATGATACATGAACTAGTATAATATAGGCAATAAAGATTACGATCTCACTATGGTAATAATTATAAGAACAAACAAGGTTACCCTCTTTCAGAACGTTTCTTTCATGTTTTGTGATGTTTTATTTATCCATCATTTTCACAGTTATGTTCCTTTCTAAATAAATTTCGCATTTTTATATTGAGTAATAGTTTGTATTTATTTGTAAATTTATGCTGTACAACAGGCACCTTGTGTTATAATTAAACTATGGTTTTAAAAATTATTTCCGAAACAAGTGATTGTGTGCTGTACATAAAATAATAAAGCATGGAATAAATTTAAGGTGACAATGATTATTATATTTTTTTAGAGGTGGTGTGTTATTTTGGAGAGTTACAGATCTGCAGCTAGTGAACAACTTGTTTATTTATTTCTTTATCACTGTGAAAGGTATGCGTCATACATGTATCATGAATTATATGGGGATAAGTATTCATGCTCAAAAGTCCATTAAACAATTAATACAAAACTGGAGTACAGAAATACGGACCTCCAAAATATCATGCAAGCTCCATGGAGGAGTAAGCTTATCCCCTGTCAACCGGTCACATCCGCTTTGTGCTTTTTGTCATGATCGGGAGAAACATATAAGGCAGTTGAATTAATGTAACAATAAATATTTCTCAAAATAAAATTATCTCAATGCGTATATGTTTCATCGGTGAGACAAAAGAGCATGCATAGTTGTATACATCTTTAATGAAAAGTGGATTTAAATAGAAGACGGATTTTACATCAAATATTTATTTTCTAAAACCCAAAGAAAAAAGTCTTCCATGCAGAAATTTATTACTGATGTAAAGGACAATGGAACTCTACTGACATTTATAGTATATTGCTCAAACAAATTTTTCTATTACTTTTTTCAAATTAGATATTTACACAAGTTTGTTTTTTTCTTTCTCATGTATTCTGATATGTCTGTGATATGTAAAATTATGTGATTTTAAAATCTCTTTAAAAGGGGGGGGGGTATTCGCAAGCCTTCGAGGAGCTCAAATATTGCTATTAGTATCCATACATGTGATACATGTATAACGATTGGAAAAACCCACCAAATAAAAAAAGTTTTATAAAAGGATAATGCCTTATTGACATGTTG